TTTCAGATCAATAATTCAAAGATTTAATGTTAGTAAAGGTACCGCAGTAACAGCTGTACGTCGTGTTGCTAAAGCATTATGTGAAGTCTCTCAAAAATACATAGTATGGCCCAATGAAAATGATATTGAAGATATTGTTTATGGCTTCTCTAGTGTGCGTGGCTTTCCTGGTGTTATANGGGCCATAGACGGAACGCATATAAATATTCCTGCACNTAAAGAAAATCCAGAAGCATATATAAATCGAAAAGGTCGTCATTCGATTCAGCTCCAGGTAATTAATATCCTAATAATTTTATTTATATTAATTAATTACGTTATCTTGCATATGGCTCCCAGGTTGACGCTATGTTGTGTTATTTTTATATCGCTGTTTTGTAAATATTTAAGTTTACTTCATCAACCTGAGGAACAATTTGATACCANTACAGATTATTTTATTGTTAGATTATTCTTAATGAGTAAAAATAATTAAAACGTTGAAGATAACACAAACACAGCTCTAATCTAGAAATCAAGTAATATACAAGAATTTTTATAAAATAAACATTTAAATTACGAAAGTCTTAAATATCATAGTTTAATATTTGTTTTCTGTTATAAATTTTTAGTTTTGTAATATTTCTTAATACTGTTAAATGTAAAAAAATACTATTGACAAATATTATTAAATGTGTAAATAAATAAGCAAAATATATATAAAAATTGGTATATTCTGTTCAGGCTGTTTGTGATCATAGGATGCGATTTATACACATCTATGTTGGGAATGTGGGTTCAATTCATNACTCTCGAGGTTTCCGGTTATCAGCATTACAGCAATATGTCAACGATAAAACAAAATTTNCAAATGATACACATATGATTGGAGATGGTGCTTATGGATTACATCGGTATCTTTTAGTACCTTATTATGATGATGGCCATCTCACAGAGCAGCAAAGAAATTATAATTTTTGCCATTCTTCTACCAGAGTGGTAATAGAAAGAGCATTTGGTCATTTAAAAGGACGCTGGAGAAGTTTGCTACATGTTCTGGCAGTAAATGACATAAAGTTTGCTCCTTATCATATATTTGCATGTTGTGTACTGCACAATATTTGTTTGCTTCAAAATGATGAGTTAGAGTTGCAAAATCACCTTATCTTAACAAGAGAACAAAGAGAGGTACAAGAAGAAAGAGTTATTGAGTGTAATAACAGAGATGCTGCAGTAATAAAAAGAAACAACATATGTGCAAATTTAAATATGAGAAACATATAAACAGAAATAATGAGAAACATATATGAAAAATATAAAATAT